CCCCCCAGCGGGGCTGGCCATGCTGTAATCTCTTCTCCTCCATTCTCCCCTCGGGATCTTGGGCACGCACATGCACACGCACACGAACCCAGTGTGTGTTTAAGCCACCGGGTCCGGGACTCAAACTGCAGTTCACCACTTGAGAGTACAGCGACATAACCATCTGCTGGTCCCTCCAAGCTTGGGGTCTAAGGGTGGGGAGAGAGAGGAGATAGACACATAAACAAATGCAGTCAGCCTGGATGGCCATGAGGCCTAGGAAGAAGGATCGGGTAGGGCAGCTCCAGGCCGTGGGCACCTGGCCCTCACGCTTATTTTTGTGTGGCAGCTAAGAATGGTTTTTATTTTATATTTTTAATAGATTTTTTTAAAAAGAATTGTTTATTTAATATTACTTACTTATTTTCAATTTGATATAGGACACATGCAGTCACTAGAGAGAGACAGAGAAAGAGAGAGGAAAAGAGAGAAAGCAAGCTGCCAGGTCTGGGACTCGAACCATGGTTGGCCATGGCAGAGTCAAGTGCTTGGGGCCAGATTTCAGAAGAAGATGTGATGACATAAAATAACTGAAGTTCAAAGTCGGGATCCAGTAAGGAGGGTTTACTGGGGCATGGCCACGCCCACTTATTTACATATCGTCTGTAGCTGCTCCCTCCCCCCCCCCAAAGGAAATGGTGACTCATGGTGAGAGACCATCTGGCTGCAAATCTGGAATATCTATAGAAAATGTCACCCGACCCCTGGGGGCCAGAGGGTGGCTGGCAGTAACCCAGCCGAGCCCATGTGAGTAGGCCCTGGTTCGAGCCCCGGGACCTCCCTGTACACACTGACTGTGTGCACCTGCGTCCGATCTAGGCCAGTGAGGCTGCAGTCAGTTTCTGCCTGGGGACCCAGGAGGCGACTCTGTCTCTCTCCCTTTGAAAAAAATAAACCTAAAAAATGAAAAGAGAGCAGACATTGGCTGACCCCCTGGGATAGAGTGACTGGAAAGTGGAGGGTGGGCTGCCTTTGGGAGAGGAGCCAGGGGCGGCAGCTCCAAGGAGATGCTGTTTCAGTGGAGACGTGAAGGGCGAGAGACAGGTGCCCACGGTGAGGTGGGAACGGGGCAGCACACAGAGGGTACAGCCCGTCCAGAGCCCAGCACGAGAGGAAGGTTGGTGTGCGCGAGAGGCAGTGGGAGGCCAGAGTGGCTGGAGTGTCAGGAGGGAGGGGGACTGTCCTGCAGACTGAGGACAGAGAGGTAAGCTGGGTTCCAGGGTTCCACCTTGCAGGAGATCTTGCCATCACTTTAAGAAAAGCAGTGACTTTGTCTGATTTGTCTCTATGTCACTTTTTAAAAGTAGGAAACCAGCAGTTAGAGTAATGGCTATGTCGCTGGACGCCCACGTGGTCGACCGCGGTTTGCGGCCAGGACTCGGTGGCTTAGAACTTAGGCCGGGTGCGTGTGCGTGCGTGCCCAAGATCCCGAGAGGAGAATGGAGGAGAAGGGATTGC